ACAGTGTGTAATTTGGAGAACTACATATTTTACCAACTGGGTATTGTAATTGGAGCGTCGTGAAGACCGTGTTTAGCGCTGAACTGTTACAAGGGCAGACAATACTACTGAGGCGAATTTGTGAATGAATTCATTCGTAGTATTGTAAGTATAAGATTGACCGATGTATATCCTTCTTTCAAATCATATATCCATGTAATTGTATTGAATTAAATTGATGCCCATCAGTCTAAATTATCCATGTCTTACACGAATTCTGCAATTTTAAGTGTGATAAGAACCCGCAGACAAGGCGGAAAAAATACTGAATATTATTAAGTGTTTAGGGTAATACTCGACTGACCCTGTGATCTTGTGTCAATTATACATACCATTTTTATTAATGTTTTCACTTTCTTTCACAATATTAGACCATTCCTCTGCCAAGACAAACAATATTGAATTACGTATAACAACAAGCCATTTCGTGCATTTCAAAAATTAGTTGAAATTTGTTCATTTACTTTGGGCAAGTTGGTTAAATAAATAATTTCGAGAATATTCAACAACTATCTCGAATGAATACTTACCCCAGTATTTCAACCTACACATTGACACCATTCACGCATATTGTGAAAAATATTCCTCAGTGCTTAGATTTTTCTTGAATAATAAATGTATTCATAAACCTGATATGTCTTTATGGAATTTGAGTAAGTGAAATCAAAATTTACGATAACATTTATGATGGAGGTTGGGTTAATTATTTGAAAGTGTAAATATACTCACGCAACACACTGCGTTTGTCAACAACCTTTTTTCCGAATCGCTGTGGTAGATAATGGAGAGGAAGAGAGTTGTTCTTGTTAATAACAAGGCAGTGTTTTATCTTTTTCATTGTTAATTGTGAAAGGCTGTGATGGTAAATACAATTTATTTCAAATTGATTTTTAGTTATAAAACTTAACATATACAAAACATTGATAATTAAGGCCAATATTGTGAGGTTTCCTAGCTGTTTCCAAAACAAAATTAACATCTACACATAATGAAAAAAACCCTTCCCCTTTACACATCTGCTATTTGCAAATGTTACGATTTTAAGTATACGATAAAGCCTGAATATGAGGGTTTTATCCGATTTAAAACCAACCGCCTCATACCATCTATTAATATATATTTAAAGGTGGTTTTCATACGTTTTAAGACATTCATTGAGTCCTGTCAAACTGTCTAACCGAAATTCAAAATAGGATAAGGCGATCATACCCTTATTTCCAAATGGAATATGCTACACAGGTCCTAGAATATGTGTGTCGACCTTTCAGATTGTGTAGTCAATTTTCTCATACAATTTGCTTTCTACAATTTTTTTCTGGCGGACTCTTTATGCAAGATTGACGTTTTTTGAATATTCATGATCAAACTTGATAAATTATAACACGCCAAAGACCGACTTCGTGTTCCATATTGTTCAATTGACAGCGTGTGTGAAGGTTGGAACCTAGGCTTTGCGAGTCTCTTTAGGTTACATTCGGAAACACAACATTAAGTTTAATTAAATTTAGCCATCATTAGATCGTATATTGTTAAATTATTTAACTTTGTCATATTAGATTAGTCAAATTGAATACTTACAGATTGGGCATTACTTTGACTAGGCACAATCAGTGCAATGCATAGTATCACGAACAATAATTTGTAGTTTGGCATGTTGTTGTCTGCAATAAAAATATTTGTAATGAATAAAATGGTTATGTATTTGCAACTCGAACCTTTTAGATATTAATAATCAAATATATTCAGGGGCAACCACGTCTCTTTGGAACATAGTTTTGCGTCTTGTGTTTTTGCGTTAGCTTTGAAATGAACCAAAACAGGATAATGATTCTTATTCCAGTTGTTTGAACACTTTCTGAGTAACGATTATTTTGAATAAAAAGTATTTATACTCATACTAAACGTGTCTAGTAGTCCACGGAACAAATACAAATTGCAATCTTTAACAAACTTTATGTTTTAACATATATTTTTATTATTTCCAATTAATGTTGACGCCATATTTTACTCCATGTAACAATCTATGTTGACAAAATATCGATTTTCTATGAATCATAATATGATTTATGCTCAGCAGCTGAAATACACTTGTACAATACAAATACAATTGTATAGAAAAAAACTAACTAAGTTCAATGTACATGTGGTAAAATGCTATCTTACTGGATATGTAGACTGTTTAGAGAACACGGACGAAACCGCTTTGTAGAGGTCACAATATAATCTCAATATTTTAGTTTTATGTACCAGTAAACATGGTAAGGCTTTGCTTGTTATACATTAATAAACTACCCAGAGCAGATACGTGTTCATTTGGGTGCGCTTTGTATGAAAAAACATTCTGGTCTTCAAGCTTGTATTTATGTAGTTCATATTGTACTATTTGCACTACTTTTAAGACTCATAGTTTTCATATTTATGCCACAGATAGATTCTGTTTTATTAAACACCTAGCACTGTAACCTATGACACTACAGTAATTATAGCTTTTGTGTTATTACACGCTATTTAAATTTTCGACCGCATCACCTGATCAATGCACACAATCAATGCGTACCTTTGCTGTGCGATGCACTCGGACGTCAATTCAAGAATAAATATTAAACAGTATTTACACCTTGTTAGACATGTCGACCAAACTACTGTTTTTTTTCTATCTGGTACACATTGGTCTATTTCTACATAAATGTGTCTGTTAGAGAGTCTAATTAGAATTCATTGCGGTTTCCGGAGGATATATAAAACAATAATAACGTATAGAATAGAAAACTTACATTTCAATCTGGATACACCTGTAAAGAATGCTGCTTCTTTAGTGCTCAGGTAAAGACTATGGTAAACCGGTTAGAACTGGTTTGTGACGTCACTAAAATCTAGTGCCAAATAGGATTAAGTAAATAACCCATAATAAATGGCATGCCAAATACTATGTGTGGACAATAAACATATACTTCGTGTGTGACCTGAGCCGTTGCTTTTGTACAGCACCTAATTATCTAGTTTGCACATCAAAACTCGTCTTCCTCTCAGCTATAGTATTTACTGGAATTACAAAAAAATCAGCGTTCAATAAGATACAAAATACAAAAAAAATTGCCAAGGGTTGAATATTACACAGTGACGAAAAAATACAGCGAATTCATTGTAGGCAGCCAGCTAATATAGTGTATTGTATAGCTAGATGGCATTTTCGTGTTACAAGCAAACAGACTAGTCAGTCTCACATATATCACCTGGTATCACTAGGGTGGATGACAATTTAAATTTTAAATGGTATTATGACGTCATTCAAAATGGCCGCCATATCGGTACAGACGAATTGCATGAAAATGGTCGTGTCTTTGAAATTATATGAGCAAAAGAGGTATAAATTGGCTCGAATGATACTCAAACCATAGTTGTCAAGCAACATTATCGCCACAGGTTTACAATTTGTGGTTTTAAATATATAGTTTTTCAACAACCTGCTGCATGTCATTAACAGACTATTTGAGTTTTATTGTCACAAATTAAAAAAAATATCTTCCATATGTTTCTGTTAATAGTAAAAAAGATACAAATAAATAAAATCACATATATAAGTTTTATTCTTTAAACTCAATATAACCTAATCAGTACTAATATCGAGTTCATACCACTTTTGTAGATCTGCAATCAAAGTATTAATATAAAAAGCTATTCAACTGAATAGTTTGTAGTATAGGTGGCTCACAGCATTGTACTAATATGAAGTATGGTTACTCAAG